TCGCAGCCTGTGTGGGGCCACCTGCGCCTGCTCCGGACAGCCCCGTGCAGGCTGCGAGCAACTGCAGCAGGAAGCGCCGGCCACGGGGTGGGCAAGGGGCTGCTTTGCCCCCCACTGTGCTCCGCACCAGCTCCTTCCCTGCCAGCGAGCAGGGGGTCGGGGCTGTGCACTGCCCCCTGCCTGTACCGCGGGGCTGGGGGGCACTGGGAGTGAGCGGGTGTGGGAACAGGGCCCTCACCTGTGTCCCAGGGCCAGCACCAGCAGGGCCCAGAGCAGGGCGGCAGGAGTACAGGGTCCCGGCTGGCAGGGGCTCTATGGAGCCAGGCCAGCTCCCCACTCTCCTTGCTGGTGTAGCCCACCCCAGCTCCACAGACCCCTGCCAGCCTGCACCCTGCTCTGGGCCCCACTGGTGCTGGCCCTGGGACATTGGTCCCAAGATGGTGACCAGGGGGTGGGGCACTTGTCAAGGGGCAGAGCTACCTATGCAGCCCTTGACAGCTTGCCACAACTCAGTAAGCAGCCCTCCGCCCGAAATAATTGTCCGCCCCTGCTTTAGTGCTTGCTATGGAGTTGCTCCCTTTACTAACAGCAGCAGCAGCACACCCTGCTTTGGGTTTCCCTTCCCAATCAAGTCACTGATGCTGCTCATCCCAGTCTATACACATGGATCTCAGAGAGCAGCTACTTTTCTCTTTCATCTCCTTCAGTTTCTATCCTGTCCTTTTCTTTCTCCATGTTCCCAATGCTGCTCGAGTCCTGCAGCATCAGAGCAGGGGTTCTCAACCTTTTTCTTCCCGAGGCTCTCCTTAGCATGCTATAAAGACTCCACGGCCCACTTGTGCCACAACAACTGTCCAGCTCTCCGCATGGCCCCGTGTGCAGCAGGAGGATCTCAGAAGCGGGGAGAACCAGGGCCCAACTCACCTGAGCAGCAGTATGGAGCCTCACCTGCCCGCCCACTGCACTACCCACAAAATAGAGGACAGACCCACCCCCACCCCTTCCTCAGAACTCACCTCAGCCCCTGGCAGCCAAGGTAGCTCTTCCCCATGCCAGGCCAGGCCGACCCCCTGAAACCTGCGTGTGGACCCCCAAAGGGGCCATGTACCCCCAGTTGAGAACCACTGGCTTAGAGGTCTTTCTGTTCCTCTCCTCCCAATTCACTCCCACACCACTCTTCTGCTACTAGGCAATGGCTGTGGCTTGTTCTTGCTGCACCATCAACACATCTGACCACACAGCTTTTTAAAGGGAAGGTGTGGGGAGGAACAGGCACCTTTGCCAAAAAGATACTTTATTCTGTCAGAAGACACTAAAAAGTGTAGCCTGTTCCCAGTCCATGAACCCCAAATGAAAGAGTCATTCAGCCCCTCTTGGAATCAAGTCAATGCTCCTGCTACAAAGGGTCACAGCAGTAAGCACTGATTTATAAGAATGAGTGAAGCAAAAGCTTTAAACATCTGATTAAATACAGAACATACCTACAGGGCAGTATAATCATTCTCTATTATAAACAGTTTTGGGAGGGAAGTTACATGGGTAAAAAGGATGCTGCAAGTTCCCCAGAAACCTTAGATCTAGCCATTGGTAACTTATAAACCAGAGTTCTTTAAATCAGTCAGGGTGTAGTGATGGAGTCAAAATACGGTATCGCTAAAGCAGAGTCTTGGACTAGTCAGTGCTAGACTCTGGACATACAACTTTTTCCAAAGGCCTCTCACCTGTAACGTTTGCTATCAGCAATGAAAGGTCTCTCTGAGAATGTTGGGCTGAACTCTTGACTGTTCTCACCTGTATAAGAGAAAACAAGCTCAGTATACAACTTGCATACTAGACAAAAATCTCTGCAGATAACAGCAACTGCCTGCTCTAGGAGACACTGGTACTGTTTCACTAAATTGTAATCTTTGAGGGTAAGTCACCATCCAGGTCATGCCAGGTGAGCAGAATTACTAAGTTTAACTTTTGCCACGTATCAGACATTGCATAAAACACTGCAAATTTCCCATCATGTCTTTTCTCCAACTAGAAGTTCTGGAAGGCATTCAAGGAAAACCTGGCTTAACAGGGTGGAACGTCTGTTTCTGGTCATGAACATTTTGTACACTTACTAACGGAGTGGGATCTGATCATTACACCCATCCTACTTGCAACCACAAAAACAGTACTGAACTCAGCTCTCCTGAGGTGTAGGTCCTACAGTCTCTACTCCTCCCTTCTCCTTAAGGTCATCATGCTGCATCACTTACATTCTGCTTGGGCAATGATAGAAATGGATGCAGAGCTTCCTTCCGTCTCTTCTTTTGCTGTTCCCTTGGTGATCACATCATTCAGGATCTTCCACTGGGTGGGAAAGGCACCTTTGCTTGGCTCTTCTACTTTGCAAACACTGCTCTGCTTCTCGCCTGCTGTTTCATTTAGCCCTTTAGCGGCTGCGAGCTCCTTCTGTTGCCTGACAGTTGGGTCAGGAGCTCCTTGGCAAGCAATTTCCATTACTGCCATTTCACAGGTTCACAAAGTCTCTGAGGAAGAACAAGAAAAAAAGAGCTTGGTTATAACATGTCACCCAAGGATCTTAAAACTACATCAATATCCACTTGAAAAAAGGAACTGCTTACAGATTCAGCGGGGCCATGCGGAGACCACTTGTGATTTATCCCAAGTCACAGAGCAAATCAGAACCCAACCTGGAAACTGGGAGTAGTACCCTGGAGGCATGGCTCTCAAGACTCCCACTGCTACCACCAAGTGTATCTGTATAATGAATGCTATTCTAGGTAGTAAAAATGAGAGAGAGAGTTTATTTTCCTTTCACATTCACCTGACCTAAATACAAAAAGTATTTAAAGAGAATAATTTAGGGGACCCATCTTCATCTCCTCTGTTTGCTGAATACTGACATCAAGTGGATCAGTTCATCTAAAAACCCAGCTATCCCCTTATAACCTGCACTTTTGAAGTGGTCAAGAAATATTTCTCACTGTTCTCTCCCCTGTGCAACCTACTATCTCAATTATATTTCCACTGTTTTTGCAGTCCAAAAGGATTACTTAAACAAATATTTTCTATCCACTCCTTATCCTTAATATAGCATTTCCTCATTCCAATCCATCCATTCATGAGAGAGGTCTTAAAGCAAATGCTTTTCATTAAGCAGCCTGTGAAAATTCAGATGCTTCCAATAAGCCGAGACAGATGATGAAACAAAGTGTAAGGCAGGGGGAGGGGATGTTTGACTGGAAACCAGTAAAATTAGAATCAGAGAACTATTACACAAAAGCACACCTTTGAATCTTATCAACTTGTTCTGTACATACTTTCTTTGCACTTGCTGGACAGCTGCCCAAAGCAAAAGACCTTAATCCAAACAGGCTCCTGGCAACTACAAGCTTAAATCACAACAGAAATTGAAAATGGGCACAGAAGGTGGGCAGCACCTCTCTGGATCAGTGCCTAAAGGGCCACCTTAGAAAAAAAAAAAAGTGGGGAAGCAAACTGTTTGGTAGCCAACTGCAAATATCTGTGAGTTGTTTGTAAATGAGTCACCTTACAGCCTGGCAAGTATACAAGAGAAATCAACAATGACCACATTCAGAGACTAATAAAACACAGAACAGCTGCTGTGAGATAGAAGTGCTGGTGACAGTATCCTGCCGATTAGTTTAACCCTCTGCCTCTGCTACAGAAATTATGCCAGATCTAAGTCTTGTAAAACTATCTCTTGGAGAAGCAGAGCCGGGCTGCAAAATGACTAACTCAAGCCACCAGTGACCTAGCTGACAAGTTCAGAGCTATTTTTATACTCTTCCCTGATTTGCACTCAAACCCTGCATCTCTTCCTTGTCTGCCCTCACTCCCAAGACCTAGACAAGCAAAAGTATGTTTCCATGTCTGTTAAACATAGGAGGGGAGGGGGAAGAGAATGGAAGAACCATAACCTTACTCTCCCCTTGAAATGGAAAAGAATCCAATGAAGGGATACACTAAGATTCAAGTCAACAAAAGCACATCATTTTGGCTATAAAGAGAAAAAAATCCTACTTATGACTACAGAAATGCTAATCAGCTGGTGATAACAAGGTCCTTTTTTAACCACCCAGCAATAGTCTTTGTAGTGTCAGTTTAAATTCACAATTCAAGTCTAATGCTTATCAGTAGAAAGAGATGCAAATTTGGCCCAGGTTACATGGTCACAGAATATGCTAATTTCAGTTTCCAATTAAAAACAAAACCCCCCACAGTATTCTAAAGGCACCTGTGATCTATATCCACCATGAACACACGAGGGAACTGGGCTTATTTAGTCTGCAGAACAGAAGACTGAGGCCATGTCCACAAAAGTGTGGACATTTGTTTCCCCAGGGACAAGAAGCAATGGCACACCTTGTGCTGCTGCTAGCTGTCCACAACGGGCAAGTTAGCCCTGGTGGGGTAGTGGAGGCGGGTCCAGCACTGGGCTGGCCCCAGTCACCTTACCTGGGATTCTGGGGGCCTGCTGGGGCTGCTGCTGCAGCAGCGATCCTGCCACTTGGAGCCTGGCCAACAGCTAGAGCATAGCTCTGGCCAGCCAGACTCCAGCTCTCAATAGTGCGCACTGCCCCCGTGTGCACCGCTCCACCTTTTTTTTTTTTGGGGGGGGGGTGTTCTAACCCCTGGATATCCAGGGATCAAAAAAAAAAAACAAAACAAAACAAAAACAAACAAACAAAAAAAAACCCAAACCCCATGCAGATGCGTCTGCAACACCACATACCACACACTCATACATGCTCATCTGGACGTGGCCTGAGAGGGTATTTAATAGCAGCCTTCAGCTACCTGAGAGGATGGAGCTAAACTGTTCACAGTGGTTGCAAATGACAAAACAAAGAGCAATGGTCTCAAGTTACAAAGGAAGTTTAGGTTAGATTTTAGGAAAAACTCTCACTAGGAGGGGAGTAAATCACTGGAACAGGTTACCCAGACAGGTTGTGAAAGCTTCATCTTTAGAGATTTAAAACCTCGATAGACAATGCCTTGGCTGGAATTGTATAGTTGGGGATGGTCCTGTCTTGAGCAGGGGGTTGGATTAGATGACCTCCTGAAATCCCTTACAACTGTCATTTTCTGTGAGGGTTTTAAGCCTACAAGAAGAAATCAACAAATATAATGTTCAGGAGCAGTTTCAGATTGCCCATCAGTTTGAAGCACACATCAGTGTTTCCTCTAAGAGTGTCATGATTTTTTAATCAGAAAAGAACTCTTCTGAACAATGCATTTCACACAGGTCAGCCATAGCTCTTGCAACTGCTTTATACATTTAAAGCCTTAGTAATATTTTCTAACCAATATCTGGTCACCAAGAAAAAAAAAAAAGTTTCACAACGGCAGGAGGGGGTCGGGAATTCAATCATCATAGCAACAGAGAATGATACATTCTTCCTTCTAGACTTGGTCTAAACCCTAAGTCTTTTGGGGACCTTGAATTGCCAGAAAACACAGCTTCACCAGTGGAAGCTAAAAGCAACTGAGGCTCAGGTGTCTGCAGGGTTAGACAACATGATAGTAAAAAAGGGTCTGAGCTTGTCTGAAACCTTCTACCAACCACCAGGAGAATAACACTTGTTCACAACTGCATTAAAGTTCTCTCTGGAATCTGTAGATAAGGCCTTGAAGTGTTGAGAAATTTATACAAAGCTAAAAGACACTGATTTCCCTATATAAAAACAGTCCTCTCAATATCCAATTAGTTCTTAAGGTTTCACCTCAAGCCTTCCTTCTTTGAAGCGAGTGACCCATTTCTCTACCATCTTCCATTTAGCTGGTACACACCCAGACTTCCTCCACTGCCCATGTTTCAAACAGAACTGAAATTAAAATGGTTCCGTTTTCTTCCTTGTTAGTTCAGGGCAGACCATGGGGCAGCATAGCTCTGGTTACCAACTATTGCAGAGCCAGCAAAGAGGAGCTTCAGTTTGTCTAAGCATGAATTAAAACATTTAGAAGGCAGAGAACATTCTCCTGAAAAGTATTAAAATCTTAGGAGTATCTACAAAACCTTATCTGATTCTAACCTGGACTTTCATGCATTGTCAAGTACTCCTGTACAAAGCATGCTTGACAAAAGACTACTCATATTTTAAAAGGGTCACTATTAGTCTTCAGATCATTTTACTTATGTTAATAGCTGCAACTATTAAAACCAAAAAGAATTTTCAAAGTCTGTTTTTTTTCCATTTTTATTACTTTACTTCTATTAGCTTTGTTACTGTGAAATGTAACTGGCTTAGTCTTTTTCCGTTCTCATGTACTGCTATTGTATGGTTTTGGTTCCACATCTTCAAGGAAATATTTGATTAGATTTAAAAAAAATATTCCACTAACACTTAAAAGTCCTTGCACATATCTTTAGATAGACACTTAAACTCTTCTTTCACCACATAATTTCCATAACAGTGTTCTTTTCCTAGTATTGAACTGGACGTGACATTGAGACTATTTTTGCATTTACCTGAATTCATTTAAATTAACTGTGTAATGCCTGTCACTCATCCTGAAAATAAATACTATAGAAGCTACAAACTTAACTGAAAACAGCTTCAGTCTAGACACATTTAGTTTTCTATACTGCCCCAGCAGCCTTCAGGGCACATTACAGATACAACAGCTTGATTCCATCCTCTCCCCACCCCCCACCCTCACCTCACCCCACCCCACCCCAAAGCACTTTTACAGGGAATTGACTCATGAATATCACTTCCCTAACTTAAAATAAAAGAGCATTTGAAGGATGCTGCCCAGTTAGGTTCTACATGAACCATGTAGCAGAACAGCTTTTTAACAATGCAATGTTGTTTGGGTGGACAGGACACAGCGATTGCCAAATATTACAAAATACTGTAAACTCCAAGGCCATTAGGCCATCTACCCTTACACTAAAATATCAAGTAACATCAGCAGGACATCAGTTTTCATTTAAATGGTTTTACTCAACTTCACACATAAGCTTCATTTAACTATTCCCCTTCAGTCTTGTGAACCCAAACATTATTGCAGTGAGGTATGAGAACCAGAAAGTGAAACTGAACTGCTCAGTTTCACTGTTTAATCTTAGGAAATTACTATTAGTCAAATGCTAACCATTTTAAATGATGTACCATCTACAAATTCAACTTTTAGGTTCATCTAGTCACTTCCAGGTTATCCATCATATTACCAACATGCCAAAATACAAAAAGCAAGCAGTCCAACAATCTTAAGACAAAAGGACTCGCCCTCTCATGAAGCTGCTGTACAGCTTGAAACCACT